GGGGAAGGGGAGTGTGGCGGTGAGGTAGTCAGAACGTGTGCCGTCCGATGAGAGGGGAGGGCAGGAGGGCAGGAGGGCAGGAGGGCAGGAGGGAAGGGAAGGGGGGGACGCACTGCGCGCAAAGCTCCCCGCCAGGAAGGGAGCCATGGTGTAGAGCCCGGCCACAGCGCCGCCAGAAATGGGCGATCCGCCGGCCGGCGAGAAGTGTGAAGGAAAGGAGAGGCGAATGCCCTGCTGGAGCTGCTCGCGGAGAGCCTCATACCCGGCGAAGTAGACCACATTGGCTGGGATGGCCATGATCCTGAAAGATGTGTTTGAAAGGGGAGGCGGGGAGAGAGAGAGAGAGAGGGAGGAAAATGCCGAGGCATCGACAAAGGTTAGGAAGTGTGGGTGTGTGTGTGTGGACACAGGAGGAAGGGGAAGCACATACAGTGATGCACCGAGGCCACGCCAAAGGGCAAACAAACCCTCAGTCCGGGCAATGTCCGAGAGGGTGGCCATCAGACCCGGGGGCCGGGGGCCGGCCCCACCTGGCCGCCGGTCCCCGGCCAGAAGGGAGGAGGCTCCGGCCAAGAGGCCACCAAGACGCGAGGTGGCCGCATGGACGCCGGGACCGGAGCCCGCTGGAGTGGCCCGGGCCAGGGTGTCCGGGCTGACCCCGGGGAAGAACTCCCGCGCAAGGAAGGACAGCCGGGCGGCGCCGGGGTTGGCCGTCATGGTGCCGGGGCTGCTGGTAGATGGACGGAGAAATTGGGGGGGCGGCGCCTGCTGGTACGGGGCGTGAAAGGGCCGGCTGTGGGAGGCGCCGGGAGGGGCGGCGGCGGCGGCGGCGGCGGTGGTGGACCGGGCATTTGCCGAGGAGCCGCCGGCTGCCAGCGTTGGGCCGGACCAGCGGTGGTCAAAGGAAAAGAATGTCCCCGCACCGGCGTGGGGAATTGATGGGCCGAAGAAGAGGGCACACGGGGCGCCGATCCCAAAGCCGCGAGCAAACGAATGGGGCGCTCCGGGGGACAAACCAGCCACCCCCATCGACGGGGTGGGCGTCGCCGGCGGGGAGAAGGGGAACCCGTGCAGGCGGAAGTTTTCCAAGTACAGGGCGCATGTGCAGGTGGCTTCGGAGAAGGCAGCCAGCGACAGGCGCGCCGGCGACAGGGGCGAAAACCCGGCACCGGGCGGCGGAACATGAGGGTTCATCCTGCTGGCTGAGGCCATGTTGGACACCGGAGCCGGAGTGGGCGGAGCGGCCGCCGCTGTCGCGGGGCGTGCTTGCAGGCGGATTTTGGCCACGTCAAGCGGAGTGACTGCGATGCCACGGGAGGGGGGGGGAGCGCGTGCGCATTAGGCGGCAGGATGGAAGGCAGGCAGCAGGAAAGGGCTCCGGACAAAACCGAAGGGAGGATGGAAGACGGGAGGGGGGGGGGCGCGGGGGAGGGGGGAAGGCGTGCGCACCAACAAGCGAGGTGACCAGACTCCCAAGCGAGGCGGATAGCATACGCTGCCGCGTGGTGGCCGGTGCCGAGGTGAGGAGCTCGCGCGCGGACGCCGAGGCTGAGGGATCTGCCGGCATGGCAGCCGCCGTGGCGGCGTGCCCAGCTATTCCGGCCGTGAGCGAGACATCCGCGCTGGCGGAGTCAACGGCGACTGAAGGGGCAAGGGAGGGAGGGGAGGAGATGCGGCCG